GCTAAGGTACCAAGGCATGCGACGAGGTAGAGTGGTCGGTTATTCCAGGCTGGGTCAAGTCCAGGTAATGGGCACAAAGAGAGGAAAACAAAGCCGAAAGGGGCGAGACAGGAGCGGGAAATCCAAAACCAAAGAGTCGACGTTGAAGGAGTCCAGGCGAAGTAGAAAAGGTTTTTTAGGAAGAAAGGGCGAGGTGAGCTCAGGAGGCGATGGAGATCCTAATACCAAGTGATGTTACAGGGTGAACTGAGGGTTTATATAGTGAAGGAAGGGGTGTGTAAGGGAAATTGGATAATGAGGGGCTAACAGAGGCCAGCTGCAGCCGTAACACTGTAGTGTCCGAACAGGACATGCAACTGGGCTGAACGCCTCCTGCATTGTGAAAGATGTAAAGGACAGAGTACCAATGTTGCCATTTCAGGTACCCAATCTTAATATACTGTACAAATATTGTGTTACAACAAACAGTATGTGCTTTATAGAGGTGTCCAATAGTGGTCTTGCAAAACAGCTGTCAGCAGATTTGCAAGATTTTTTTTGCAGCAGTAGCAGCTGAAGAGCTGGAAGATACTGGTGAAGGTAAGCCAGCAATTGTCTGATTTAGCTTTTTAGCTAATGAATTGAGTTGGAATGAAAACCCATTCTAGCCCTCTTGGAACAGGCTGGACAGTCCATAACTTCAAAGACTCAAGAGAAAATGCAATCGTTCCTGTTCTTTGAAGTTCAAGCTTAACACACTTTCAAGAATGGCACTACTCTAATCTATAGTATTCTTGCAAAATACTGCTATTAACAGAATGTTAAATATAAAGTAATAAGCTGCTTATATTATAACTGCTATTGATGTTTTCTCCTTTCAGGAATATTGGCAATAACTTCACTCTCATATCTTGGAGATTTGTGTTTCATGGCTGAATAGATGGCTTCAGCAGAAATGTGATTTATGTCAAGACTTCTACAAACAATCTTGCAGCAACAGCACTGCAATTCTTTAAGCAAGGGGTATTGAGGTTTGGACCATTATGGGTAATAGGAAATATGGGTGTTGAAAATGTTGACATAGCAGATTACATGATTAGCTCAAGGGGAGCTAACTGGCGCAACTTCATAAAAAGTCAAAATGTTCATAACCCACACATTGAACATTTATGGCTACAGTAGTATTTGTGGCTTTAAAGATTTCTTTCCATGGCTGAAAAAAAGGAATGTTTGAACCACACAATGTCATCTCTTTGTGCTATATTTTGTATATTTAGGAATCATCTTTATCATGTTTTTTTAATATAGCACTATAGTATATTATACATATATTTTAAAAAGGTGATCTACATTTTTCCCCAAAATAGATTTCTCATTTTTTTTTCAAGCTATCAATTAATTTTATACCTAGAATTAAATAGTGTGCTTCATTAAGCCAAGAAACACTGAGTAGACTAAGGCTTAATAGAGGGAGGATAAATAAACATCTGGATGGTCCAAGCCTATTCACATAAAACCTTCAACAAAACTAGGCACAACCAAATTTTGGTAAATTCCAAAAGCAAAAATCCATTTAACTTCCGATAGCTTGTGAATAACTTTTTGAAAGAGGCAGCCTCCACTTCCACAAATATTTACCTCTACTTGTTACTTGAAAAGTCATTCTTTCCATTCTTAGTCTGGATAAACTTAATTGAAGAATGAGGATCAGAACCAAGTGGGATTATCTGATTAAATCCAGATACAAAATAAAGTCATTAAATCACATCTTCTATTCCTGCGATGAAACCATAATTTTATTGTACATGCAGTAAACAAGGTATGCGTATGGCATTCCTTTCTTGGCAATTTGAAAAGAAAAGTGCTATAAATTATGCACAATCAATTAGCCATAATACAGTACATTTGCCAATATCTCTCCTGAATTAGGTGCCATTTTCTTTGAACTGATTTCTTTCAACTGATTGAAATACAGCCTGCAAGTGTCTGTGGGTTTCATACACTGGTTCATTAAGCATTTCTACAGAGGCTCTATTAATGAATTCCGTTAAAAACATATGACTAAATATTTCAAATTTCTTCACTTATTCATATCCCAAGCTAAAATTTTGCATCTGCACATAATGTAAAACTTGATTACACATCCTTTAAAGCCACATCACCACCATACCAAATTAAAAAAAAACAGCATAATTATACATTTACCCGTGTACGGTGTCCTTGCATAATAAATTAAAGTGCAACTGGCAGAATAACCTACAGTTTGGTTAATATACAGCATATATAATGATGCATTATATACATTTATCATTAAAGACATGGTCCCCAGGCATATGTGTGAATAATTTTACAGCGCCATTACCACCTTATCACCTCATCTGATCACATGTGCAGAAGATAAGCAAGGCGTGGTCTGACTAGTACCTAGGTGGGACACCTCTAAGGAAAATCATGGTGTTGGTGCACCAGAAGGATAACTTTTCTCTATGGACCTGAATTTCTAAACCATTGGCGAAGTGGTGATTGGACACACTGTAGGAGGTGTAACATTAAATTAAGGACCTACTGTATCTGCTTTGGAAATTATTATTATTAGTAGTAGGGCCAGTAGTATGTATATTATTAATGATGCCAAGGTGCTGTTCCTAAGCATAAGATTCTTAATTTTGGCTAAATTCAGCTTCATGCAAGCTCAATCTGGCCTAGAAATTCTCTAGATTTCATGCAGTCTTCATACTTTTTGTGTAAGAACAACTTTCTTGCAAGATGGGCATTTTGTAGTTACAGTATGTTATGGGTGCCCTACATTCCAGGTTTGAGCCCTACGTACTTTAACATTTGTGAAATGAGATAGAATGACCTGTGGCACCTAGGGCCCAGAGATGCATGAATAGTTATATACTTGTCCAGTATCTGTATCCTGGTGTAAAGCAGGTATTGCAGATGTTCTGATAGTACACTTCTGACAGTGGCTACATATGCTGATATCTAAGGACTTTCACAGCAGACCCCTTGGTGACCACATTGATGGCAAAGTCATCAAAATTAATATATTATAATATGGGCCATAAACATGCAAGAGTGGGTATAGAACAGCTCATTTATTAATCAGAATGACATAAATTTGCTCTCCTTCAGCCAGTAAGAAGAAATATAACGTGAAGGGGTGGGGGTTTAGGGTGGCAACCTCAGACCACAGACCAGGATGGGGGAACATGGGAAAGCCACACATGTACACTCACATAACATGTACACAAACCCCTGTCCTTCCCGCCGAGTCCAAGAAGTTAACAATGTCCATGATAATTCCCAAGTATCCCAGAAAAGTTCCCATCTTTCCCAGCATGCTCTCCTGGGGCTGACATCACCTGGCCCAATGCTTGTCTGCCTGGTGTCCCATCACTGCCTGATCAGGGTGCTACATTATCTACATGTCTGTTAAATAAAATAGTTCAGTGCTTCTCCTGGAAAAAAAATATTATTTTCCTGACATACATAATGGATTTCTGTACTTGCTGACAAAAACATACAGCATTTGCACAGCCTTGTTAGAAAAAAATAATAGTGTTGATAAAAGTAAACTGAATATAGTACAATTTTAAAATGTGTTCTAACATTGTGTTCTTTTCATTCCATTTGTCACCACTACAAATGAGAATTTAACAATATCATACATTAATGAAAATACCAATGTACTTCAATGAAACATTAGCCATGCTGCTTACTGTTAATACATGTACCAGTACTATGTGAATAATCCTAAATACTACAGCGTAAATGTCAAATGCTGAAAAGTATCTAAATGAATGCCTGCTTGCAATTCACTTCAAATTGTGAGCCCATTGAAATGATAGCTTGCTTTTATGTGGCTTGGTAGGTAGAATCTTTTTATACATGCAGAGTAATTGTAATTTCAGCTTTGTTCACAGTGTGGTTTACAGTAATGTTTTGTGAAGCCCATCAAGGGAGCAGTCATAATTGTGATTCCTTGCCAGCAGAGAAAATCACATGTTTTTCACTTTCAGCCTCTTGGTTGGGAAAACTCCAGGAAAACTCATAAGTTACGGCTCTTTGAGTTTCATAATTAAATGATAAGCTATGCCTGAAATAAGTGATGACTGGGGGACAAACCAAACCATTTCCCCTTCCAGAGACAGTATAGGTTATAGCAGGGACATTTTTCAACAGTATCTACAGGTAATGTGTATTCCTCAGTAACCACAACACTATCTTCTGTAAGGACTTTCCAAATTAAGAGATCCTGTGCAGATGCAGGAGTAGGTAGGTGTCGAGGCAGGC